TAATGTTATTTGTTATTAATATTATTATTACTATTTTTTTTTTAAGTTGACCAGAGACAGAGAGAAAGGAGAAGTGAGAAAGCAAGCCCCCAGGTCCAGGACTCAAACTGTGGTCTATCATGTGAGAGTCCAGTGCCTTAACTACTACGCTGCCCACCTGCCGGCTAGGAGCCAGGGGTTTTAACGTCCACATCACCCGCTGTGCTAAAAGAAATATTATGGAATGTCATAATGGCTCAAATCTCTTAATTTCCTCTCCTTTTGGAATATCAACTCTTTGGATTTGGTAAAGTATTACAGCCTTCAGAATACAGAAGGAGAGGAATTAGGGTTTCTACAGCGATGAGCAGTCTTTTAGATTACTCGTCTCTAAACTTTGGTACATGTACCTACAGAAGGGCAGGTGACTTGCTGATGAGGAGGGCTAGGTGTATACTGAGTCAAGCGGACGTCGTAAACTTCCTGAAACTATGAGGCTGAAATAACTCAGTAGAATTCACGCTCAGCCCGAGAGGAAAATCCCCTTTGTTAATTAGGTTGCTTTTGATTTTACAGGCAGGCCCACCTGAAAAGGGAGCCTGTGGAAAGTGAGGGTATGGCATGTTTGTGAAGGATCAAGTTTCCTTAGCTACCTATGGTTCTGAACAGACCCACTGAGAACTGGGCATCGAACACCAGAGTATGAAAGCAGTTACCTGAAAAGAAATGTATAAAAAGGAACCTCCTCCCCTTGAAGTCACAGAATTGAAAAACAATAGTCTAACAAAGATGATGTTTTTTTATTGCCGTAGGTTTGAAGGGTTGAGTTATTAAAAAGTATTCGACACACCACCGTTGTTTGGGTGATGCTAACTCGTGGAACGGAACGTTGTCGCCAGACTGGGATCTTGCCTTGCCCGAGTGCATTCTGGGCAAGGAGCAGTTGGTGGTGCTGCTCCCCTCCACCTGGTAATAGCCAGGACTAGACATGACGGGATACCCACTGTGTCTCATCAGCTACATTTTAGATAGAGAAAAAGAATTAGGAAGATACCCACATCTCCACGCTGGTTTTTTGTTTGTTCATTTGTTTGTTTTTGTTTTTTTTTGGAGAGGTTTTTGCTATAGGGCACATGCGCTTGCCAGACAGACAGAGAGAGACAGAGAGACAGAAAGTAAGAAATCACCCCCCAGTGGGGATGGTCACGCCTCAATCCCTTCTCCTCTTGGGATCCTGGGCACGCACACACATGCGCCCAGCATTAGTTTTTTGTTTGTTTGTTTGTTTGTTTGGTTTTTTTTTTGGAGAGGTTTTTTCACTATAGGGCACATGCACTCGCCAGACAGACAGAGAGAGACATAGAGACAGAAAGCGAGAAATCACCCCCCGGGGGGATGGTCACGCCGCAATCCCTTCTCCTCCATTCTCCTCTCAGGATCTTGGGCACGCACGCACGCGCGCCCGGCGTGAGTTTTAAGCCACCGGGTCCAGGACGTGAACCGCGGTCGACTACGTGGGAGTCCAGCGACATAGCCATTATGCTAACTGCTGGTTCCCCCTGCGTGAGTTTTAAGCCACGGGTCCAGGATGCGAATCGCCGTCAACTACGTGGGAGTCCAGTGACATAGCCATTACGCCAACTGCTGGTCCCTGTTTTTTTGTTTTGTTTTGTTTTGTTTTTTTAAGAGATTTTTGCTATATGGTGCGGTGCATGCACTTGCCAGAGAGACAGAGGAAAAGAGACAGCGAGAAGCCACCCCCTAGGGGACGTGGCCACACTGCAGTCCCTTCTCCTCCATTCTCTTCTCGGGATCTTGGGCACGCAGGTGCACGTGCCTGGCGTGAGTTCAAAGCCTCCGGGTTCGAGATTCAAACCGCAGTTGACTACATGGAAGTCCCGCAACATAACCATTATGCCATCTGCTGGTCCTCTCCATGCCATTTTTATAATGCTTTAAAAACATGGCCGTTCCTTCTTCAAAACCTAGAAACAGTTCTGGACACAGGTAGTTTTAAAATCAAGTAGATTTGGAAATGTAGTTTTAAACTAGATTTATCGTCCTTAATACCTGCATGACTCAGTTGTCCTTACAATAAAATATGCATTGTTCTACACTGACTTAGCTGTGGAGTGAACGTGAGAGTGAGGGCAAGGGCCCCGTCTTCATCTGTCCACAGGACTCTAGTGAAATGAAACTGAAGGTGAGGTGAGGGATTCGGGACTGAGGCCCTCTCGTTTTCTCTGGGTTTTTAATTTTACAGAAAACCTCTTAATACGAACATTATCTGGGACCAGCAGATGGTTGTCGCTGGACTCCCACATAGTTGACTGCCGTTTGAGTCCTGGACCTGGTGGCTTAAAACTCATGTTAGGCATGTGTGTGTGCGTGGAAGGAGATGGGACTGCATCATGGACATCCCCCGGGGGATGAGTTCTTGCTTTCTATCTTTCTGTCTCTGTTTCTCCAGTGAGCACAAATATCCTATAGCAAAAATCTCTCTTTAAAAAATTATCAAACCCAGGGACCAGCAGTTAGCGTAATGGCTATGTCGCTGGACTCCCACATAGTCGACCGCGGTTCGCGTCCCAGACCCAGTGGCTTAAAACTCACACCGGGCACGTGTGCTTGCATGCCCAAGATCCCAAGAGGAGAATGGAGGAGAAGGGATTGCGGCGTGACCATCCCCCCTGGGGGGTGATTTCTCGCTTTCTGTCTCTATGTCTCTGTCTGTCTGGCGAGTGCACGCACCCTATAGCGAAAACCTCTCCAAAAAAAAAAAAAAAATTATCAAACTCAAAGAAATTCTGACAATTAACATTAGAAATTGACCCTACATGGCCAATTATATATCATTATGAATACTGAATTATTGATGGTTGGATGTAGCTGTTCTTGATATCTTTTACCTGTATGCCTTCAAAGGGGACATTTGAAATCCAGGATCCAGCATTGGATCCAATGCTGGATCCTGGATTTCCTGTAAGTATATAAATCTTTTATATCTCATTGAAATGTATTTCAAAGTTATAAAAAAAATTGTATTTCCTCTTTTTAAAGAATTATTTTTTATTTAATTTTATTTTGATTTGACCAGAGAGGGTCAGAGAGAGAGAAAGTGAGAAAGCCAGCCACCAGGTCAGGGACTCGAACCATGGTCCGCCACTTGGAAGTCTAGCACCTTTAACCACCATGACACCTGCCAGCCCCCCCAAATTTTGATCTTGTTGTTGGTTCAGAGAACTAATATCACATCAATACTGGTTTGTGGGCCAGACCATGGCCTAGAGGTTAAGGGAGCCTGGGTCTCTTATGGCTGACTGCAGTTTGGGTCTCAGCCCTGGTGGCTTGGACAACAGCCCACCCATGGCCGGGTGTGCGTGGATGTGCGCTCCAGATCCCAACAGGGCACAGAAATGGAGAGGGCATTGCAGCATGACCACACCTCCGTGGGGTGTTTTCTCCTGCCCCTCTGGGGAGTGAAAATTGGATTGTATAAAAACAGGGCTCTAACCCAAATCAAAGTGAATTTTAGGTATTTCCAACCTGTTTATCTTTTCTTTTTTTTCCAGAGAGATTTTTGCGATAGAGTGGTGTGTGCTCACTGGAGAAACAGCGAGACAGAAAGCGAGAAATCATCCCCCAGGGGGATGGCCACACCATGTCCCATTCTCATCCATTCTCCTCTCAGGATTTTGGGCACACACGCGCGCACACACACCCAGCACGCTTTTCAAGCTGCTGGGTCTGGGACTCAAACTGGCGCTAGCCATGTGGGCGTCCAATGACATAACCATTACGCCATCCGCTGGTCCTTCCAATCTGTTTATCTTAGAAAACCTTTTTTCTTTTCTTTTTTTTAAAGAGAGATTTTGCTATAAAGTGTGTGCCCTCACTGGAGAGACAAGAGAAAGGCAGAGAGACAGAAGTAGAGAAATCACTCCTCGGGGAATGGCCACACTGCAAGCCCTTCTCCTCCATTCTTCTTCTTGGGATTTTTTGGCACACATCCACATGTGCCTGGCATGAGTTTTAAGGTGCCGGATCTGGGACTCGAACCATGGTTGACTACATGGGAGTACCACAACATAACCATTCTGCCATCTGCTGGTCTCAGAAAACTTTTTTTTTTTTTTGGTATTTAAATTTGACCTCAAGAATTGGCAGGATTAGGGACATAGAGGTAGAGGCTTATTAGTGGGTAGAATCAGAAGACTTTTTATTATACATTGTGCAGTTAATGAACTGGGGCATGGACTTCTAGAATATTTGAAAAAGTAGTGATTTTTTATTCGTGTCCTTACCTTGTTTGGAGCCAATGCAGTAGGTTAGGCAGGTCTCCTAACTGACTTTTCAGAGTCTGTTTCTGCTAGACGTGAACCCAGGGGGAACTGGGAACACACACATCTCCTCCAGAGCGAGGCTTGGGCGCGTGAGGGTTTTTCTCTAATGTACATTCGCGTGCCCTCCTAGGCCTCGGTCGTGATTGACATCTGCTTCCTAAGTTAGTTTCTGTCTGTTTCAGGAAGTCATTGGTTTTTGCTTGGTTAATATAGATGAATGCTATATAGAGAAGCAAGAGGAGAAAAGGAGGGGAAAAGATAGAACTCTTCAAGCACGGAGGGCCGTGCATCAGGATTTCAAAGACTTTCCAACCAGGTGTAGAGGGTGGAGGAGCAGCAAACGTGAAGCCTTTCAACCGTGACATTTTCTTCTAATGAAGTACGGCTCGAAAGCTGTCATTTGGAGAGCGTTGCAGTGTTTTGAAGTCAGACACTTAGCGCATTTTTTACACAATTTTCTATGTTAAATGGAATTCCGCGTTTTTGGCCATCACCTTATCTTGATAGTTGTGGGTCTCAAAAGGAACACCAGAGCTCTTGAAATTCAGGTGGGCCGCGGGAGCATCTCTTCTGAACTTGATCTCCGTCCTTTCACGGTCGCTCTTAAACAGAAGTAGTGCGTTTTCTACCTCCGGTTCTTGACGAATGACCTTGAATTAATTTGTCACGTTTATATTTTGCAGTACGTTTTTATACCTGAAATTCCTGGTAGTGTGGGCACTTGTCCTTCTGGCAGATTTTGTCCTGGAGTTCAGATTTGAATACCTGTGGCCGTTCTGGCTTTTCATCAGGAGCGTCTATGATTCCTTCAGATACCAGGGACTGGTATGTTCACAATACACGCTTTCCATGAATGAGGGGTTTAACTGCCTTTCCAAGAAAACCTCCAGCAGCTTCCGGTGGGAGGTGCACTTTACTAGCAGTACTTAGACGACTGTATTGGGGTAAGCCTATGGGGTCTGAGGACGGAAACCGGCCTTGAAGGCTGTTTTTCTGAGTCCAGGGATCAGGGTGCGCTGTCTCCCCCGTCTCTCATCTCAGGGAAGAGAAAGGGCGGGTGTAGGTAGAAGCGCCCCGACAGGGAGGCCGGGTAGCGAGGGGAGCAGTACCTGCCCAGTCCCCCTCTGAAGTGTGTCTGGAGCCTCTCAGCTAGTAATTGGAACAGAGCTGGAGCAGTGGTCTCAAGCTTTTCGTAGCAGGACCTTTTGTACTCTGAACCGTGATCAAGGGCTCCAACGAACTTTTGTTAATGTGTGTGTTAAGTTTATTACTTGTTTCACTTTTGAAAAAGTAACAAAGCCATTAACTTTAATGCAAATTACATATTTTTAAAGAGAGATTTTTGGTTTAGAGTACATGTACTTGCTGGAGAGACAGAGAAAGACAGAGCTAGAAAGTGAGACATAACCCACCAGAGGGGATGGCCGCACTGCAGTCCCTTCTCCTCCATTCTCCTCAGGATTTTAGGCACACATGCCCCTTAAAACACGTGAGTTTTAAGCTGCTGAGTCTGGGACTCAAACCATGTCAGCTATGTGGGAGTCCAGCAATGTAACCATGATGCCATCTGCTGGTCCCAGTAAAAATCCCATTTTTAAATGAAAAATAACTAGATTTTCCAAAATAAAAAAGACAGAAGGGTGGCTCCATCTTTGCAGATCTCTGCTGTCTTCAGTAGACGTTCAGATTTGCTTCAGAACTCAATCCATTGCAATATCGTATGTCATGTAACTTCTAGGAAATCCCACCATACTTGTGAGAGAATGAGTAGGAAAAAGGCAGATAACATCTGAGTATTATTATCAAATTAACTGTTAGCTCAAAGACTCCCTGAAAGGATCTGGAGACCTCCCAGGAATCCCCAGACCCCGTTTTGCGAACTACTGGGTCAGAGCAAGGACAGAGGCTCAGGCTTGTCCCCGGGGTTTGTGTGTGTGTGTGTTCTGTTGTGTCCCGTAGCCCCATCTGAGAACCGTAACTTCCCCCAGGCCTGGTGCTTGGATCGGAGCAAACCCATGCTTTATAAAGATGGTGGCAGATAGCGGTGGCCAGAGGAAGGCCGCATTGTTGAAGTCACTACCTCGGCCTGTTAGCAATATTGTCACTCACCTGTGCTCCAGCAAACCTACCCTTTAAAGGCCGAGGCTCTTTGGAAATGTTTGTGAGGAGGGAGGAGGCTTTTCTGTGCTAAAATTCTAGTGCTTTCAGATAACTCACCTGTGGACCTCAAATGAGCTCACTGTGGACCAACCTCAGTTTGTTCCGGTCTAATTTGTCATGGCCTGAGCACCATAAGTAGTGTTACTCTTCAGTGCTGAATGAGCCACTCACTAGTTTTTACATGGTTGATTTTAAATGTTGAAAATTTCCTGTTGTTAACTGGTTCCGTTGTTACTGCTTAGTAGTTTTAGCGATTTTTTTTTGTCCAACATGCTTTTAACAACCTGTTTGAACATAGCCAGTTCTAAATGTGTGTTTTGAAATTTTTCCTAATTTTTTCTCTTTCCAGGCCTTCTCAGTATTTTTTGTTTGTGTAGCATTTACGTCAAATATAATATGTCTGCTGTTCATCCCCATACAATGGCTTTTTTTTGCTGCTAGCACATACGTATGGGTTCAGTACGTATGGCACACAGGTAAGTCTTCACGGTTTCTTAGATGGATAGAAACTCTAGACTCAGAGTTTTTAAATGCGATTTCTTTTCATAAAGTTAAAGCATTTTAAAGTAATTTACAAGATTTTAAAATCGTATTTTATAATTTCTTAATTACATTCCATTGTACATCTTTGTAGGGTGCAATATGGTTTTCAAAGCATGCATGCAGTGTATGATAATCGAATCAAGGATATTACCATATTCATTGTCTTCAACAAAGAATTTTTATTTTAGTTTTGCTATAGGGCACTTGTGCTTGCTGATGAGAGATAGATGGGGAGGAGAGAGAGAAAGAAAGTGAGAAATCACCTCTCGGGGAGGTAGCCACACCACAGTTCCTTCTCCTCCATTCTCCTCTTGGGATTTGGGGCACTCAGGCACACGTGCCTGGTGTGTTTATTAAGAACTCAACCACACAGTCAGCCATGTGGGACCCAGCCCTAACTACCACGCCCCGGCTGGCCCAAAGTACATTATATTATATTGTGTACCTGAATAAATGATTTAGAGGTTGGTGTAGACATTTTAAAGTTGCCTTCCTAACAGATCATAATATGGCTTTATAAATTTTTCTTTGATTATTTGAATCAAGGGTTAAGTCTTTATGATTTGGTTTTGATTGTGTCTTAGGCGTTTTAATTACTAACTCTCATAAAGAAAATCCACTTTTTATAAAAGGCTGAAGTGATTTTTTATTTTTATTTTTTCTGCCCGAGAGGTCACTAGATAGAGAGAGAAAGCACCCCCCCGCCCCCGCCCCTGGAGCTTGGCCATGCTGCAGTCTTTCCCTGGATTTCCGCTTCCCGTCAGGATTTGGGCACGTCTGTGCAAGTACCCAAGTGTGTTTTTCAAGCCACAGTCAGCCATGTGGGATCCAGCTCCCTATGCACGGTTCTTCACTGCTGCACTGTGGAGTCAGCTCCAAAGCTGAAGTGGTTTGTAGTTAGATACATGTGAAGACAGCCATGTGCCACGTAAGGAAAACGTTTTTGGCACTTCAGCGTTGAAAGGAATGTCAGAGGTCATTTAGGTAAGCCCGTAATTTGGCGTAAGAATTGCCACAACATCCCTGGCCCGTGGTGGTTTTACCTCTGAAAACCTGCGGTGACAAGGGATTTACACATTGTTCCTGGCACCCTATTCCATTTGGGTGGCTGTAATAGAAAGTTCTTCCTTGGGGCCAGCAGGTAGCATGGTGGTTAAAGCGCTGGACCCATATGGCCAACTGTGGTTCGAGTCCTGGGCCTGACAACTTGCTTTCTCACTTTTCCTCTCTGTCTCTGGTGAGCACATGTATCCTTTAGCAAATTAAATAATAATAATAAAATTAAATAATTCTTGAAAAAAAAGAAAAAAAGAAAGTTCTTCCTTATACTGAGTCAGAATTTTACTTCTTAAACTTTTGACCTAGCATGTCTTAACTGTTTTGGGGGTTACTAATCTAAAGAAGGTTTCCCCAGAAAAATGTATGGACATGTACAGGACTTGCCCCTACGTTTTATGGCACCTGTAGTAGACCGTCCTGTCAAGCCCAAACACTGGACCTCTGCTTTAGAACCATACCGAGCGAGTGTCGTTTCCCGTCCGTGTTAATGCTTCATCAGAGGACTGAAGATGCTTTCATATCCTCTAAAGTCTTCTTTTCTGTAGGCAGCAGTGTCTCTGGTTGCATCCTCCTTCTCCTTCTATGGTATTTGAAGCACTTTCACCATCCTGGTTTTTCCCCTAGTCTACGTACTAGCGAGCTGTTGGAAAAATCGTGACGCATCTTTGCATAGGAAATGGAAAAGATGACCCACGTTTGCATAGGAGAGTATGTCATGACTTTGCCGGCAGCCCAGTGCTTCAGCTGTGCTCTGACTGGAGTAGGGCTATACCGTCCCCTTCTTCTGAGAGCTGTGTTTCCAGGTCAGATCAGACGAGCGGTTCTGACAGCGCGAGCCCACCGGATCTGAACGTGCTGTGCACTAGGACTTGCACCCTGGCTCAGCCACACTTCTCCACGAAGCTGCACGAAGCTTGATTCTTAAGCCCAGCTGTCACCTCTAGGATTTTGAGTACCACATAATAAAACTCTGGAGCAGCATGCATTCTTTCCTGAAAGCTGCTCAGAGGAGGGTGTTGGCCCATGCGGCCTGGCCGCTATTGGAGTACCCCTGTGAGCATGACTCTCACGTGCTCGGCACTCTCTCCTAGCCGACTGACCCGTGAGCGGTGGGGGGTTCTTTAGTCTGCTTTCCTCTAATTACAGCGATTTTTCTCGGTACCGTTTTTACTTGCATTTCTTTATCTCGGGCCTCTGTTTCTAGTGAGCTGCCATTTATACTGGTTCCACTCCCTCGAGGTCGGCCTTTCTCTGTTGTGCAGGTAGAGTAATCTAGACAGTGTCCTTGGGAGCCGTCTCACTCAGATAGTGGAAATTCCTGTTTTTCAGTAAAGTCTTAGTGGTAGAGAAGAAACTGACCACATAGCTATTAATGGAAGCTACTGGAAACTAATGTGGTGGGTGACCCATGGGACAGCAGTGTACCCAAATGTCATAAGACGATAATGGCTTCTCTTTAGTCCCAGGCTCGGAAGTGCGTGTTAGAATAGCTATGTTGTAAACTGTGTTTTAATTTGGGATTAGTGCTTAAACAACTAAATCAACAAAACATTTTATGTTCTTATTGGGCCTGACATATATGAGTGAAATTTACTTAATAAATAGTTTTTTTTTTTTTTTTTGCTATGAAGTGCATGCACTCGCCAGAGAGAGAGAGACAGACACTCCCCCAGGGGGGATGGCCATGCCGCAATCTCTTCTCCTCCATTCTCCTTTTGGGATCTTGGGCACGCACACATATGCGCCCGGCATGACTTTAAGTCACTGGGTCCAGGACTCGAACCGCGGTCGACTACGTGGGAATCCAGTGACATAGCCATTACGCTAACTGCTGGTCCCCAACTAGGGGTTAATTTTTCTTCCAGTTGTTAAAAATTAAAATTCCTTCTTAAGAATATTAGGAATGAAACTATTTATGGCTACTAAAGAATGCTAATATTATGTCTTAAACTTTTATTTTCTTGTTGAGAGAAAAAGCAATATAAAACTACATACAAAATTACTATTGCACTTGTTCAAAGATAGTTTCGGTGTACTTTTATTCATTTGAAAATACAGGTGTTTTTTCTTTTTTATAATACACTTACTGTATTATAAATGTAACTATAAATTAACATAAAGAGTGGGAAATAGAAGTGTTCAGAAATGCATTTTTAAATGATTTGGGAAACACAGTGCTCTTTTTCTTCCTACATTGTAAAAGTGCCTGTTTTGGGGCTCCTAAATTCCTAAGGAAGGCTAGAGCCATTAGTTACCTTCCGGTATCAACTTGACTCAGGGACGAGTTCTAAGGGAACTGAGTCTGTCTCCTTCACATACTCAGTACTGTCTCCGTGAGCCTGGACCCAGTTTATTTAAGCTCTGAACCTCCTTTTTCTCTTCAACAAAATGGGGAAGGTAGGCTAAGTGATCTAATCTGGACTGTGATTTTCCTTAGTTTCTTCTCAACGATCCTTAGCAGAAAGCCTCAGGTCGCTGATGTCTCCTCTCAGGCCTGCGTAGTACACATTCATAAATGTTCCATTATTTTTTCTTAAATAATTATTAATTTAATTTTATTCATTCATTCATTTATTTTAATTTGACCGATAGAGACACAGACAGAGAGAGAGAGAGAGAGAGAGAAAGCAAGCCACCAGGTCCAGGACTTGAACCATGGTTGGCCATGTGGGAATGTCCAGTGCCTTAACCACTGCACCACCTGCTGGGCCCCATAAATGTTCCATTATTAAGTCAGATCCTGACATCAGTGGGCCTGATGTGCAGATTTTGGTTCTAAAAGCCAGTGGGAAATTTTCCATTTGCCTCTTACTCTATTACAAGTTGCATTTTTTCCCTTGAAAGTTTTTATTTCCCCCAAGAGATGTTTTGCTATAGGGTGCATGCACTCACCAGAAGACAGAGACAGACAGAGAGACAGAAAGCGAGAAATCACCCCCAGGGGGGATGGCCACACCGCAATCCCTTCTCCTCCATTCTCCTCTCGGGATCTTGGGCACGCACTCACCCACATGCCCAGCATGAGTTTAAGCCACCAGGTCCGGGACTCAAACCATGGTCGACTACGTGGGGGTCCAGCAACATAGCCATTACGTTAACTGCTGGTCCCAAAAATTGTTTTTAATTAGAAAAGAAATATGAGCTGTGGTTAAGAAAAAAATGTTTCTGAACAGTACTAAAGTCGTCCTACAGCTTATTTTTACTTAAGAATTCCATTTTTTATGTATATTACTCCATGACACAGTACAGAACACAGTATAGATCTTTAGAAAAGCTGCGACATATTTCATTATATCCATCTGTCATCATCAGACAGTTCCCTGTTGATGGGCATTTAAATTAAGTTTTGCTATTACAAATGATATGGGACCAGCAGTTAGCGTAATGGCTATGTCGCTGGACTCCCAGGTACGCAACCGCGGCATCAAGACCCGGTGACTTAAACTCATGCCAGGTTCATGTGCGTGCGTGCCCAAGATCCTGAGAGGAGAATGGAGGAGAAGGGATTACGGCGTGGTCATCCCCCCTGGGGGTGATTTCTCACTTTCTGTCTCTCTGTCTCTCTCTCTCTCTTTCTGGTGAGCACACATACCCTATAGCAAAAACCTGTCCAAAAAAAAAAAATGATACTGCAGTGAATATTATTTTACATTTATCTGAGGATTCTTTTTTGTTTCTGTTAGTTAGGTTCCTAGAAGTAGACTGTCTGGGCTCACTGTTGATAGAACTTATTGGTTGAGTTCCTACCCAGCAAGCAAGGCCACGTGGGAGATGTGAGTTCACTTCCTAGGTCAGCCTGCAAGCTGGATGTGGTTGCATGCATCTGTAGTCCCAGCTGTTTAGGGGGCTGTGGCAGAAGGATCACAACACAGTGAGTCTCTCTCTCTCTCTCTCTCTCTCTCTCTCTCTCTCTCTCTATAT